TTCAAAGGCGTGGTATGGGGCGTCCATGATCTGCTCGGGTGTATGATGAGGCAGAAGAGTAGTACCACCGTGGTGGCTACGAAGACGACAGATAGGCGGGCCGTTCAAAGGGTGTGCTGCTTGCCATGTGGCACTAGTGGGTCTGCACGGGTATGCTTCCGTTATGAGGGTGATTATTGCCACCGTTGTGATTAGAACAACAGGTAGGTGGACCGTCCAACGACTACGAGGGGATTTGCTAAACTTGGTAGGAAAGCGGTTTACACTCTATCGCTGAAGACAGATATACGCTTGAAGGATTTGGTGCACTTGACTCTACTTGGTGCAGCTGAAGTGCATCTGCAGCGCGATTATTATTATTATTATTACTATTATTATTATTATTACTATTATTATTATTATTAGTTCGATGAATCTTTTTTAGGGGCTCTGCACCGTTCCTGGTGAGCTTGCAAACACGCCGCCTGCTAGTTGTTCCACAGCGTGGAATAAAAACTGGAGCAGTGGTCGGCAACCTTGGTAGCTACGTATGGCGCTGATTTCGGCTGCGAATACGGTCTTGCCTGGGCTCGTTTGCGGAGCAGATGTGTATGAGGCCTTCCAGCTAGCAAAGAAAAACCTCCGCTGAATGCCAAGGAGCAAGGTGAAAGAAGTGGGTGACGAAGAGCTGCCAATTTCACCACCGAGACACGAGACGGTGCGGATGCCGGGGAGCACTGGCAAAAACAAAGCATACAGGGTCGGAGTACTGCTTTGACTACAAAAATTGGCTGCCTCCGGCTGCAGAAGCTTCTGCAGGGAGGTTCCCGTTGCTGCACTTGTCTACCTAGTCGAGATCTACACGGCCTCCTCAACCTGTTATCGCGCCTTCAGCGTCTGCAGCAGGAGAGCTCAACTGAGATGCTTGTCCCATCTGTATCAAAACGGAAATTTCGTTTATCGATCCTATGAATTACCCGTTACTTGTGGCACGAACTTGTTTGGCGGATCGAGACATTCAGTCTTACGCCTCCCCGTGTTCTTCGCACGACGAGCATACATTGGAGCAC